TGCACCTTTAATTGCTCAACCCCTAGGGCATTTGCCACTTTTAATCCTACTATCAAGGCTTCGTACTCTGCTTCGTTGTTGGTTGCTTTGAAACCAAACCGAAGTGCGTACTGTATATTTTCTCCCTCTGAGGAGACAAGAACAAGCCCGGCTCTGCTAGCCTGAGCAGTAGATGACCCATCCACGAACAAGTCCCAGACTACTTCTGGGCCCATCTGCTCAATTAAACTTGGTTCTGTCAAAAATTGGGGTTGTTTCTCCTCTTCTGGAGGGGTAAACTCAGCTAAGAAATCAGCTAACACCTGAGCCTTTACTGCTGTTCTTGGCTTATACTGAATGTCGAACTCCCCTAACTCTACTGACCACTTCATCAGTCGACCAGAGCTTTCTGGCTTATGTAGGACCTGTCGAAGGGGTTGATCTGTTAGGACCACTATCGTATGCACTTGAAAGTATGGTCTCAGTTTCCTGGCGGACACAATTAAAGCAAAGGCCAACTGTTCCATCCTTGGATATCTTTCCTCCGTACCCCTAAGTGCTTTGCTCACGAAGTATACTGGCCTTTGGACCCCTTGTTCTTCTCGTATCAGAGCTGAACTGACAGCTGTCGTGGAGACTGCAAGGTATATGTATAGTTCCTCTCCCGGTATGGTTCGAGACAGTAGTGGGGGAGAACTAAGGTATTGCTTTAGTTCTTTGAATGCCTGCTCACATTCTGGGGTCCATTCAAAAGCCTTCCTTAGCACACGAAAGAAAGGTAGACACCTGTCAGTTGACCGAGAGATTAGCCTACTCAAGGCAGCAATCTTCCCTGTTAGTCGTTGTGGATCCTTGGTTGATCTTGGCGATCTCATGTCAATGACTGCTCGGATCTTCTCTGGATTGGCCTCAATTCCTCTTCTGCTTACCATATATCCCAAGAACTTTCCTGAGGAAACCCCAAAGGCATACTTGCTGGGGTTGAGTTTCATTTTATGACTCCTAAGTACCTCGAAGGTCTCCTGCAGGTCAGTCAAATGGTCTTCAGCTTTTAAGCTTTTCACCAACATGTCATCAACATATACCTCCATGTTTCTACCAATTTGATGCTTAAACATTGCATTCACTAGCCTCTGGTATGTTGCACCAGCGTTCTTGAGCCCAAACGGCATTACTTTGTAACAGTACAAACCTCTATCAGTGATGAAGGCCGTTTTTTCTCTATCTGAGGTGTACATAGATATCTGGTTGTATCCAGAATATGCATCCATGAAACTTAATAGTTCGTGTCCAGCCGTTCCCTCAATGAGCATATCGATTCTTGGGAGAGGAAAGCTGTCCTTCGGGCAAGCTTTGTTAAGGTCGGTGAAATCCACACATAGCCTCCATTTTCTATTTGCCTTCTTCACTAGGACCACATTTGCCAGCCAGTCGGGGTAGTACACCTCTTGAATAAAGTCGGCTTTTAAGAGCTTTTCCACCTCTTCTGATATAGCCTGATTCCTTTCTGGAGCAAAAGTCGTCCTCTTTTGTCTGACAGGTTTGAAGTCAGGATTTACATTTAGACGGTGCTCCATGATAGTGGGGTCTATACCCGGCATGTCTTCATGTACCCATGCAAATACGTCTTGATTCTTCCTGAGGAATTGAGTAAGTTCATCTTTGATACCTGAGGGGAGTAAAGACCCTATACTCACTTTTTTCTTGGGCTCACCAAGGATGACCTCTTCTAGCTCCTCTGTAGGTTCCGCTCTATGAAAGTCTGGTCTATCTTTCCCTTCCAGCCCTTCAATCATAAATGCCTCTTGCGATTTTATTTTTCTGAGAGAAGCGACATAACATTCGCGAGCCATTGTTTGGTCCCCTCTTATCTCTCCCATACCATATTCAGTTGGGAAACGCATCAGGAGATGGTAAGTGGACGTGATTGCTTTCATAGCATTCAATGTCGTTCTCCCCAGGATAATATCATATGATGATGGGCAGTCCACCACTACAAAGTCCACCATTACAGTGACCTGCTTTGGATTGGCTCCTACAGTAACTGGAAGGGTAACTGCCCCCAGTGGATATACTTTGTCGCCTAAAAATCCCACCAGTGGTGACTTCATGGGTCGGAGCTTCTCTCAGCCAATTTTTAATTTCTCGTACGCCCTAAGAAATAGTATGTCAGCCGAGCTACCACTGTCTATTAGTATTCGTCGAACAGTGAAATTAGCAACGACCATGGAAACTACCAGAGGGTCATCATGGGGCTGGTGAATTCCCTTGTCATCTTCTTCAGAAAAGGCTATGACCGGCTCCTCAACTCAAGGTAATTTAGTTGGAGGACTTGTCATTCCAACTTCATTCACCTCTGAAAAACTCCGAATTCTCCTAGCATGAGCCTTCCGAGCTGAACTCGTCTCACCACCACCAGCGAAGCCACTCGATATAACTTTGATCTCACCCATTGGTTGGTGTTGAGGAGGGCGATCATCTCGGCCCTCCTGGGCTGGGTTGGAGCCTCATTTTCCATTTCTAGTTGTGAATTTGCGTAAATGACCTTTACGAACAAGGTTCTCAATCTGGTTTTTGAGGTCGAAACAATCCTCTGTGTTATGTCCATGGTCCCGGTGAAACCTACAGTATTTATCTCGAGACCTCTTTGTTGGATCAGCTTTTAGCTTTGGTGGCCATTTCAATGATGCGTCATCTTGAATCTGTAGAAAGACTTGCTCTACAGATGTATTTAGGGGGGTATAGTTATTATACCTGCTTGGGCTCGCTAGGCGGCGAAACAATCTGTCAGCTTGGTTGTTTGAGAATTTCTTGTACTTCAATTCCCTTTCCTCCCTAGAGCTAGGTGCTGGCCTCTTCTTATCCGACATCTTATCTTCACCATCTTTGTTTTTTCGTGCATTCATAGCATCGTCAGCGTTCATGTGCTTCCACGCTCTAACCATCAACTCTGTCATGCTTGTAGGGGCTTCCTTTAATAAGGAAAATAGGAACTTAGAAGTCTGTAGTCCTCCCATAAAGGCTGTGAGGGCAACCTTGTCGTCCACCTCTTCAACTTGCAGCATTTCAGTATTAAAACGACTTATGTAATCACGAAGGGACTCTCCCTTCTGCTGCTTCACATTAAGTAAATGTATTGCTGGTCTCCTGTGCTTCTGCCCAGCGATGAAGTGTCCTATGAATTGTTTGCTCAACTCTTCAAAGTTTTCAATGGAGCCTGGCTTTAATTTATTGAACCAGAGACGAGCCCAACCCTTGAGTGTGGTAGGGAAAGCCCTGCACATAATCTCGTCCAGTACGGCTTGCAAATACATAAGAGCTTTGTAAGTCTCCAAATGGTCGAGAGGGTCCCGCGTCCCATCAAAGCTCTTAAGAGTTGGCATCTTGAATTTGCTAGGTAGAGGACAACTCATAACAGCTGGGCTAAAAGCTAGGTTAGTCTTTTGTACCATATCGTTCACTGCAGCCTGGCCCTTCCCTTTCATCGCTTGCATGACATCGTCAACCTTGGCTTTCAGATCCTGCAACTCTATATCGAACTGAGTGGCGTCCTCAGTCTTGTCTCCAACATAACTAGAAGTATCTCCACGGAGCCTGGTGGTATTCCGTTCAAGGGACTGATGGTGATGGCTCCTCTGTTGACCCCCTATTTGACTAAGCTCAACATCGTTGTTAACCCTACGGGAGTCATTGTTGGGTACTTCACTGTTTCTCTCCTCGTTGGGGGCGGCTAAGCGTTGCAGAATCATCGCATTTTGTTGGACTAACTGGTTCACCAGTTGTTCCAACGCTGCGACGCGTTCCTGATCATTTGGGACGACTGGGGGTTGCCCCGTTGAAGTCCCTGCATCAGAAGCCTGCAACCCTTCGCCCTCGCCAGCAGCCAGACCAGATTGCAATAGAACCATGCTTTGTTTAGAGAACAAAAATAAGTTCCCACAGACGGCGCCAACTGTTGAAGATGGATTCTGCGCAACCCGGATCTGATCTGACTTCCTGAATAAAGAGAAGAAAAAGTGATCCTACAAACACCGGTGTGTTACCGGTGGAGTAGGCTCCGATGAACAAGTCAGTGTGAATGATAATCTCTCTGGATAAATCAAGATATTGAGTTAGGGTTTTTTGCCTACCTCCAAACGTCGATTAGCCCTCCCTATTTATAGGACTTGGGTCAGGATGTTACGTAGCGTCCACGTCGTCCTTAATCCTTATCATAATCTGTTGGCCTAATCCTTATCGTATTTTGCAATTCTTATCGTAATCTGTAACCCTTATCTTAGTTGTAGTCCTTATCTTAGTCTGTAGAGCCTATCTCAATTTTATGAGATAGCGCGTTACTTTAACGATCTTCCCCTATCCACGGGTAATTAAATTATAATCATCAGTACTTAAAAAAAAATTCCTAAATGCCTAAACCTGAAAACCATACATATGTCCTCACACAGTCGTCACTTACTAATGCGTAATTCTTATCATCACAAGTGTATCTACATGCGGACGCTATCAATCTTCAATTTCACTTCTGTTCTTGAGTCTTAAAAATCAAACCCAAAATTTATAACTTAACCGGACTTATTTTGATAACGAAATTTACCAAATTACAAATTTATATCTCACATCTCTCTCCTCTCAAATTGTTCAAATTAATTATGAACACATCAATTGATAATAATACCATCTTTTATCATTTTCCTTTTAACCCTTAAACCTGTTTTGATCAGCCTTTGCAGCCAATTATGCAGTTTAATGTTTTACCATATGCTTTCTAGTAGTGGTGGTGCATTATGAGGTTCCGGCCCAATCCACTGCAGATCAATGGCGACATTTTACTGATTCATGAATATGGTGGCAGAAATGTTTAAGGTCAACCCATATCCTGTCTGCTGTCTAAGCTATATACGGAGTATTTTTTTTAGTTGAACGGGTAAGCAAACGTATAAAAGAAGCAAAATAAGCATTTATAAGAGGTCCTACGAGGATAAAATAAGCCAAAGGCGGTACAAGCTACATCTGTTGCTTCACACACTTAACACACTACAAGTGTGTGTTTGTGTGTGTAATTATGCTCTATTAATTGATAAAATAAGAATGAACAATTATAATTCCACCATATTTTTAGATATTCGTACATACAACACATAACAGGACTGAAAATGGAATAGATTTTTTAACTTTTTTCTTTTCTTTTTTTTAAATGCTATCTAATGCCCAGCAGAAGTCACTGACCATCATTACAATACAATCACCATATGACAAAGAAACATAAGTACTAAATTGTGCTTCTAATGTACGTTTGCTTCATCCCCGAGAAGCAGTGGAGCTAAGAGTACATGATCTAATACTTACCCAAAATACATAAAATATGAGAAAAGAAAAGAAAAAAAAAAAAAAAAAAATTTGCCTCTTTTCTGGCAACATCCATGAGAGGCATAGGATGATCGAAAACTATAACAAACTCTAACCGGGAAGGATAATGCATCCAAGGGAAAAATCTCTCGGACTAGCCTTCTCGGTTAGAGTGTTGAGCTCGAGAACCAGTAATATCCAAGAGAAAATAGTAGTAGAAACAGTAAACATTAATATCACGTTGAATAGTAGAAGATTTATGGAACTGTGCTTTGCTCCAAAATGGACATTGTTCCAGGACTCAGAAGTGGGAAGTAACACCATGCATGAGACAAGGGCGACAAGTTGAATCCGAGAGGACTCAGTAAACCCAGTGAATTATTATCCCATAAAGTACTCCGTGGCTGGGGCTTGGTGTCCAGAGTCTCCAGACTTTCAGTCATCAATTCACGAAATGTGGCCGACAAAGGTGTTTGATTGGAAAATGAATTATTATCAGCCACAGCAATATCTGACACTAATGTGTTCGTTGTTGTAGAATTAAGGCTGAGTGGTGGAGGTGCCAGATTTTGAAGACGCCGGGATTGGAACTCGGGTGCACCGGTGAGCTCCTGCACCACTTCCCTGAAGTTAACGGGCTCAACCTTGTAGACTCTAGGTGGTGTTGGCGGGAGTGGCGCAATGGGTTTCTTAGACATCTTGGCGGGTTGCTTCCGAACCGAGTGGAGTGAGGATTGAAAAGAAGATGGTGGCTTGAATTTCTTTTCTTGTTTATGTAAGTAGGTGGATGATGATGAAGAAGAAGAAGTATATGAATATGGTTCCATGGTAGTAGTATATAAATTTCAAGTCTTTTTTCTTTTTTCTTTTTTTTTTTGTGAAGTGTAGGGTTGAATATGTGTGTTTAGTGATGCATATATATATAGATTGTTAGATGTAGAGAGAGAGTGGATGGTCGAAGTGGGCAACGACCAAGAGAGAGAGAGGGAGGGCAGTAGCAGAAATTCAAGTATTGATTTTGTCGCGAGCGTCGGCTATAGCTTTGCTGACGCTGGAAGTTTTGACCATATTTTTAGGGTTTAAACAATTCAGTACTCCATTATTGTCTCTAAAACAATTACTCACTTTCGTTGATTTTTTTCCTTCCATTAGTTGCTAGTTGCTAAAGAGGTACATATATATATTTATAGTATATACATATAGAGAGAGAGAGTCGCCATGACAGTGGCAATCAAAATGGACGAGGCTCAACTGGGCGGGGGGGAGACTAGCCGCCACCTAATGGGCGGTGTCCAATTTAGTCCATATGACGTACACGTGCATGGGACCCAGAAAATTGTATATTTGAGAAATGAATAGAGTACAATCCTAATCTGTGACAATGATAGTACGTTACAGGTTGCACCATATTTGGTCAGCATCTTAATTTTTTTGTTATAAGCTTGTATTATTGGTGTTATATTATGGTTACTGAATCAGTTTCAAACTACTTGCTGGACGCCATTGTCTTCTTCCTGCTTAGGCTGTATGCATTAATTCTTCATACAAGTGTCCCGACTTTAATATGCCTAGCCAATCAACATTCTTTTTTTTTTATGAAAGAAAATATTAATTCATTGTCAATATCTGGAATAGTACTCAATAATTTCTCATGTGAAAGAAAGATTATGAGAGAGTTTGAGCGAGGGGAGGAAATAGAGAAGACACTTTTTCACACTTAGGAGGTTGTAGAATTTTGAGGAGAAGAAAAAATAAATATAGGCAGGAAACTTAGGGTGCGTTCGACTATATGGACTTGGAGCATTGAAATTGTAATTTGTAGAATTTGAGAAAAACAATTAAGAAAATTGAACCAAATTTTTTTTCAATTCCAATTTCAATACTCTAATTCTGTGCAACCAAACGCACACTTATGTTGTGTTTAATGAGTAGGAATGGAAAGAAAATGGAAATGGAATGTAATGATCATTCTCATTCTATTATTTGATTGTAAATATGAAATGTGTAGAAATGGAACGATAATAACCATTCTAGTGTTTGATTGGACCAATTTAAAATTTAGAATGGAATAAATTTCAAATTAAATTCTCCGAAATATCCCTCATAATAACAAATAAATTAAATTAACAAGATGACATTTTCTAATAGTAATTTTTAAAAAATAAATTGTGGTAGTGGTGGATGGTGGTGACGATGGTTGTGGAGGAGGACAGCAATTTTGGTGTAGGTAGTGGTATTGGTAGAAGGCGATGGCAGTAATGTGGTAGTGGAAGGCGATGGCAGTAATGTGGTGGTGGTGGTGGTGGAAGCAAATGGAAGTGACTGTGGTGGTAGTGGTGGAAGGCAGTGGAGGTGGCAGTAGTGGAAGGCGGCAGCAGTGGTGGTGGTGAAAGGTGGTGAAGGAAGGCGGTGGTGGCAGTGGCGATGGAAAGTGATGACTATATATGGTGAAAGGTGGTGGCGATGGTGGAAAGCGATATCGATGGTAGTGGAAAGTGGTGGCGGTGGTGAAATGCAATAACGGTGGTAGTGGTGGAAGGTGGGGGTGGTGAAAGGCGGCGGCGGTGGTAGTGGTGGAAAGCGGTGGGCGATAGTGAAAATCGATGGTTGTGGTGGTGGTGGAAGGGTGGTAATGGTGGTGACGGTGAAAGGCAGAGGTGGTTGGGGTAGAAGGTAATGGTGGTTTTAGACTTGGAACATGAGGGTTTTTTGGGAAGTTTATTTGTACAAAAATAAATAAATAAAAATACTTGGGAATGGAATGGTCATTCCATAGGTTTAGTTGTAGAATGGGTTTTCATTCTAATGAATGGATTTTCATTCCAATGGAATGGCCATTCCCACTTTAAATTGCATACCAAACAAAGGAATAGTTAGAATGGGCATTCCATTCCATTCATGCACACCAAACGCAACATTAGAGTTTTTATAAATCATATATACAAAGTACAAACTGAATATCTATATACATAAAGGCCCCATTAATCAAGCCGCCCCTCTGGGACGAACCCAAAAAATTATGTAAAATAGGCGATTTTTAACAACAAAATAAATAAATCAAACCAATTAAGTAAGGGCAATAGTGTGATTTTTCTGTAATTTCAATAGGGACGGTGTTAAAATTTTATAAATATGGAATCCAAAAAAAGAAAATTTTATTTATTTTTAATTTTGTGCATGATAAGTGAAATTATTGTCAATTTAATTTTTAATTGATATTCAAATTTCATTATCAAACGCAATTAATTAATTAGACAAACGCTTAATTAGTTTAGAATTAAATGTTGAAAAATTATCAAATAACAATTAAATTTTTTATGTCAGCTCTTACTCTAGTTTAAGTTTTCTCGTCCCATCCCGATTTAAATCCCTCTTCTTTTTTTCCCTAATATTTCACTCAAAATTTTAAAACTTGTGTTTAAGAATATAAACCAAATAAAAATTTTCAAAATTTACATAATTATACCCGTAAAAACTAATGCGTTTAGTGTGCAGAAATTAAATGGTATGTAAGTGGGAATGGAAAGGAATGGCCATTCTCATTTTATTGTTTAGTTGTAAATATGAAATGTGTAGGAATGAAATAATAATAATCATTCTGGTATTTGCTTGGACTAATTTAAAATTTAGAATGGAATAAATTTTAAATTGATCGAGTTCTCCAAAACATCCCTCTTAGTAACAAATAAATTAAATTAACAAAATGATATTTTCTATAATTTTTAAAAAATAAATGGTGGTAGTGGCGGTGACAATGGTGGTGGAGGTGGAAAACAGTGGTGGTGTTGGAAGGCGGTAGTGGTGAAAATGGTGGAAGGTGGTAGTGGCGGTGACAATGGTGGTGGAGGTGGAAAACAGTGGTGGTGTTGGAAGGCGGCAGTGGTGAAAATGGTGGAAGGTGGTAGCGGCGGTGGTGATGGAAGGAGGTAGTGGTGTTAATAGCGACGGTTGAAGGCGGTGGCGGTGAAGGAAGTGGCGGTGGAAGGCGGTGGTGGTGATAGAAGGTGGTAAGGTGGTAGCAGTGGAAGGTGGTAGCAATGGTGAAAAACGATGGTGGAAGGTAGTGGCAGTGGAGAAAGGCGGTGCCGGTGTCGAAAGATAGTAGTGGTGAAAGATGGTGGCTATAGTGAAAGACGATGGCGGTAGTAGTGATGGTGATGATGAAAGACGATAGCGGTGGCGATGGTGGTGGTTGCAGCAAATGAAGGCGATGTCAGTGGTGAAAAGTGGTACCGTGGCGGCAGTGGTGAAAGTCAGCGGTGGTGGTGGCGGTGGAAGGAAGTGGTAGTGGTGGAAGTTGGTGGTGGTGGTGGTGGTGAAAAGCAGAGGTGGTTGTAGTAGAAGGTAATGGTGATTTTTGGACTTGGAATATGATGATTTTTTTAGGAAGTTGATTTTTAAAAAAATAAAATTTACTTGGGAATGGAATGACCATTCCATAAGTTTAGTTGTGGAATGAATTTTCATTCAAATAAAATGGTCATTCCCACTTTAAATTGCACACCAAACAAAAGAATGGTTAGAATGGGTATTCCATTCCTGCACACCAAACGCATCAACATCCTTCCAATAATTAGGGTAGTTTTGTATATAACATAAGATATATAGATAAATATGTACTAGTATTTGTACATTATAAACGAGGTATGTAGCTTGGGCTCGATGACATTCACCCATACCACCCATGACCGTTAAACGAGCCTCTAAAACAATCTTAAATAGGCAGGTAAGACGGGCTATTTGTGATACCCCCGAATTTTCACGTGTAGGTTGGTCAGGCCCACACCAGAAAGCACGGGGATATCAAAAACAAATTGGCAATAAACGAACACAAAATGCAAAATGATAAATAAGAATTGATAAAAATGATGAAATGAAAACTAAAATGATAATCTAATATTTAAAAACGAGAATAAATTTTTATTAACTAATTATTCTGATACAATTAATCCTCCAGTAATACAACTTGGGAATCCATACTGTGTAGATCCCTAGAAAGCCAAAATATAACTAAAACTCCTATGTAAAAATCAGAAGAGTAAATAGACAGTCTCTGCTCAATATAAACAATCTCTAAGTCTAGAACTGACAAACACCTGTAAAATAATGGATGGTCAGGCTCATAAACAAGTTCTAATCTATTACATCCCAAACAGAAACCCAATACACGTATAAATCATAGTTAAATCAATAATAACTAAATAGCCCATATATATATAGATACACATTATAGGACGTTCACTGAATTATAGGTTTGCCTCAACCTGAATAGTAGGTAACATGCAAATCACACATAAAGTGGGCATGAGTACCTAGATCTACCAGGGCACATATTTATCAATTGTATCCAGTTATTCATCCTAAGCAATATACGCACCCTAACTATGATCCTAATACTCAAACTCATATTATGACATATATTTATACATATATAATGTCTATCCTATTCAATAAAAAGAAACTATCCAACCATATTATTTCAACGGCATGTCACCCAATTGATTCTGTGGCTTGACATGAAATAGGTAGGACTTAACTTCTTTTAATTAATCCATCCATAATATGCCCCTATATCCTAGCAATGGTTCATAAATCCATAAAAATCCATAATTGATGTAATACAAATAGTTATACATCCAAAACAGTCCAAAATAAAGTATGATCAAAATCATTTATATACATGATTATATTATTCTAACAACACATGATTAAAATCATATACACATCCTTACAATTGCTAGATTAATTTAAACAATTAAATTCTCCATTAACAACATGTAAATTCATTTAAATTCCATATTATTCAATCTCTTAGCATATTAATATTTATCATGCATTACAAATACTCCATGAACCTATTTTAACAATTTTTAACATATTTAAAATAGATCTAAACCGCAAT